CAGGCCTACGGCGGTGGTTTTGTCTACCTCTCGAGCTCTCCAGACGATCATCGCATCGATGCTCGCGATCATCGAGGCGACAGTCACGCTTGTCGTGGCGGTGGTCGCGATCGTCGTGGCAGCGATCGCGATCGTCGTGGCAGCGATCACGATCGTCGTAACGCCTTTCTTCATGGTGGTCGTCATGATGGCGTTGAGGGCGATCGGAGCGGGCGGCCCGCTCAGCTTCCTCGGCATCAGCATAGCCATTTGCTATCTGTATCAGCTCGCCGATTGTCTAAGGCCTCTTGCGGTATAACTTTCCATGGAGCTGCTAGTGATAGAGGAGCCCCTTGGTGAACACGGCAATGGCCTCGCTATCGCTGATGTTGGGGATGGAGTTCCTCATCTCTGAGAAGCGCCTGATGAAGTTGCGTAGGGCTCCATGGAGGTTTGATGAAGCTTTTCCAAGTCATACTTGGTTCCTGACTGCTCATAGGTGGCCATGTAGTTCTCGATGAAGACCTTCTTGAGGTCGTCCCAAGATTGGATGGAGTCCTCCCATAGGCTGAGGAGCTAGTTGTTCGCAGACTAGTTCAGCATGATGGGTAGATAATTTGCCATCACATCTTTGCTTCCTCCTATAGCTCTCACGGCAATCTCGTAGAGCGCTAACCACTACGCGGGGTTGGCCTTGCCGTCATAGGTGTCCACTCTAAAGATCTTGAAGCCCACGGGCTACTGGACAGCTCAGAGTCTTGCCGTGAAGGGATGAAGTCCGGGGATGCCGGGGGCGGGTGGTGCTCGGGTGACATCGGGTGCTCCATGCTCTGCATCGTACTGGTGCCAGCGTTCCATCTTTGCGTTGTGGCACGTGACCCTGCTGTTCTCGATGCGATCATAGGCATTGATGTTGGTGTTGATGCGTTCACGAGCGTCATACGATAGGGGTTGATTCACCTCCTGGTTGGCGCTACAGTTGCCGCCTTGACCGCCCTGTGGATGTGGAGGGCATCTGCCCTGGTCCGGATATCCTTTTTAGTTGCCCTTGGATCCTGCATAGTGGTAGGGGCCGCCAGCTTGGGGTCAAGGGTGCTCGGAGCCCTGATGTTGACTTCCTCCATCGTGGTGGGAGCTACGGGGGCGACGGCTACGAGCCGATGCGGTCGAGTAGGATGGAGCAGGGTGCCGGATGTCATTGACCTAAACTTGAGCCGCCTTGACATATGCCTAGATCTTCTTGACTTCTGGAGTCTGTGGAGCTTCTCCAGCTCGTTGAAAATGACAACGAAATTGGCGCTTAGCGTCTTATGCATTGGCTGGTTTCCCACCATGTCGAACTCATCCTCTAGATTGCGGCGTGCGCTATGCGGGGCGTTAGGATCCCCGTCAACTCCGCGGGTGACTTCTTCATCTCAGCGATGTTGACGATCGATGTTCTTCGCCAGGCGAGCATTGCGCTCTTCGATGGTTTCGCCGTTCTTGGTGATGCTGTCATGGCTGATATGAAAGATCCCGCCCTCAAATCCTGGCGAAAGGGGGGGGTAGCTAGAGACGGTCTTGGTGGAGCCCTGGGAGCATGCGCCAGGGCTCTCGTCCAAGATGTTATGGAGAGAATCATCCGGTACTTGACGAATAGCCACCATGTTGACCATGGGCGCAGGCTGATCGGCCTCAGGCAGATCAATCTTGTAGAGGTCGTCGACGCAGTCGCGCTCGGCGTGGTCGATGAAAAGGTGGTGGATGGCGTTTTGGTACGCAGATCCCACGCCCACCAACCCAAAAGGATAGGTCCTCGACATATTCTCCATCGGGGCCTCGTAGTTGGCCAGGCGTAGGCCGGTCACAGGGAGTGGTCGCATCGCACCGTACGCCCTTCCAGAGTTGCCGTGATCACTAGATCTGAATCTTGCCACCCCGGATGACCTGGCCGAGCAGATTGCTCGGTCGTAGTGGCTTGGCGACCTTAGAGCACAGGAGTTTCGCTGCTCGCAGTAGATCGATCTAAGACCAAATCCATAAGGAGCTGACATTCCGCTAAGCGGTCTGTGACCCGATCGATAGATGTGATCAGGTCGTCGTTGCTAATGGATCTCCTAACCCAGCGGCGAGGCGCCGAGATCAGAGATGTCGTTGAAGATGTTGGCACGATCGGCGCAGGGTGATTTTACACTGTCTCCATGATTTCCTCGACGTCGTTCACGTCGATGACCCAGGTCATAGATTCGACCGTGAAGGTCTGGCCTGGCTCGGGAAGGATCGTGGAGCTCGGGAAACGGACCATCTGGCTCACCATGGAATCAGCACGCTCACCCCCTACCTTGCGTGCCACTGTCGACGAAGTACGGCCGATAATCTACCGAGGGGTATGCCCACGGTAGTAGATGAATCGGTGGAGGTGCGCGTGACGGGAACTAGATGGTGACACAGAACGCAAGAGACAATGATTAGGCAGATTCAGGCCGTCAGTTTGACGTAATACCCTACGTCCTGTGCCTTTGGTGGATTGTATTATGAGATGAGGTGAAAACGAGGGGGTCTCTACCCGCCTTATATAGCTCGGGGGTAGGGTTATAGGTCGGTTGAATTTATCCTGATCGGTTTACATGATAGGAATTACAAATATTGCAGTATCTTAACATATCTGAACGGATTTCCCTTGATCGTCAATGATCTTCACGTAGCCTTGCGAAGCATGCCGACCTGTGTCGTGCTCCGTATGGCGTAATCTTGCGGGCTAAGCCTCCCCTGATGGCTCGGCCCATGTACAGCCTTGTGGGTATCAGGAGTTATACCTCACAGGTAGGACCCATGGGAGCGAGATGGAGCTGGGTGAAGCTCGATTTTTTGGCTCCTCCACCAGGTTCCAACTCTAGTCATCAGGTTTTCTAGGACTTTAGGTATGAAGCTGTCTTGTGGGAACTGTTTGGTTGGTGGCGTGGTGAAGGGGCTCCTCAAGTAGCAGGAGAATCACTACGAAACACGCCCTTAATTAGCATGGATGGGTGATGCTCTTGCTAAAAAGGCAAAATAAGAAGGTTGATGCTCTTGCTAAAAAGGCGAAACGGGCAACCACCCCGAAATTATTCCTATTTTCTTGCCAAGCTTTTGCTCACTCTTCGGACTTTTTAAATTAGGCATGCATCGTAACATTTTGACTAGGGTAACAGATTCCCAATCTCTATATTGTGTTTATGATGCAATGGAATCTTAACTTAAAAAAATGCTTCATCCATGTAACACAAACTCGTGAAAAAAATAACCCTGGATTACTCGGCTCATATGCAATGGTTGTGTAAATATTCGCAACTCCTTAATGAAATTCATGGTGCGGAGCATTCCCAGTTAACCCCTAGAAAAGTACTCCTTCCGTCCAATGAAAAAAACGTAAATCTCATTTTCCAAGGAGTCAAGAATCTCGCGTTTGACATAGGAAAAAAGTACCAACATTTATGTTTTCAAATATATTTGTTATGAAAATATATTTCATACTTAGTCTAATCATATCTATCACGCATCATAAATACCAATATACTCTTTATAAATTTAGTCAAATTTGGTATTGTTTGACTTTTCGAAAAACGAGAGTTACATTTTTTTAGAATGAAGAGAGTCAAACTTAAATTTAGTTAGACGTATGATTTTCTAAGTATTTATTACGCATCATAAATATCAATATATCTTTTATAAATTTGTCAAACTTGATATTGTTGGACTCATCGAAAAATAAGAATTACATTTCTTTAGAATGAAGAGAGTCAAACTTAAATTTAGTCAGACGTATGATTTTCTAAATCTTTAATATTATATGTTTCACATTTTTTTTTGCTTATTACAGTTCTACTATGTATACCTCTCAATACTGTAAACATCTTAGATTTGTGATTAGAGAGAGTAGTTGGCTAAACGGTGACTAAACCATATATGATGCTAAGAGACAGTTCAGATTATTTGGTTTAAAGTTTAATTGGCTAACGTTGAGGACTAAAACTTTATACCATTTTAGCTCACTTGTGTAGTCTAATATTTTTGTGAGGTTGACTAAACTTTATCAACACGTTAAGCCTCCCGTTTGGAGCCGCAAGAGTTAAATTAATCTCTAGACCATTGGATTTAGAAAGGACCTAAATAAAAAACTACATTTTTTCTCTATATTCTAGGAGCCCATTTCATTGCAAGAATATGTTTTTTTTCTTACTTTATTCAGGAGAATTTGAAACAAACGCAGATTTTGGAGAAAGTTTTTTTTTTCTTGAAACACCTAGAAACATTTCTTGGTTTTGAACTCTGGAGACTTTGGATTTTGGATAGATGGTTAAAAAATTTCACTGATTATTGCAAAGTGATTATGTTTCACCAGAGAAAGGTTTCCAAAGAGGAACTAAAAATGTTTTCAGAAGAATCTTGATCCGTAATCGAAGGAAATATGCGTTTGACTGTCTTGGACTCTTTTGGTTGAAAATATTCTAACAGATACAAGTAAAATCAATATATTAAAAAAGCCAAAGCGTCTTTTAATTTGGAATGGAAAAAACATAACCTAAAATTTATGCTCTAAGCACTTTCATGTGGTCATTATATTGTAACTAAAAGTTTTACATATTCCATAAAATAAAAAATATCACATCTTTCTCTGTGCCACATCTTTAAACTTGAAATAGAATGTTGTGTATCCCATACTTATATATTATTTTCTCTGTTCCAACTTATAATACGTTCCGAATTTTTTTAAGAGATATTTTGTTTATTAAGTATCTAGATATAATGTATATCTAACAAAAATTATACATCTAAAAAACTAAAATATCTTATAATTTTGAAAGAAGCGAGACATTATTTACATTCATGAAAATCAAGAAAGAATCGTCTCATTCCACTTTACCATCCAACCCACCAACCAGCATGGTCATCCGTGATCCAACGACTTCGCCCTAGCACCCTACCCGAATGCGGCTGGAGGTAGCCCGTCCCCAGGGCCCAGTACCCCAGCACATCAGACACCACGCCACGTCACCGTCGCCATGGCGCTGCACCACCTCCGCCTCGCGCCGCTCGCGCTCCTTCGCGCCGCGAGCCTCCCGCCTCTCGCCTCCTCCCGTATCGCCGCGCGCCGCCACGTTCACGTTCTCCTATTCGCGCCGCCGTCGTGGCCGTGGCGCCTCCTGTCGCCCGCTGCGAGGCCGCGCGCGCTTGCCACCGCGGCCGAGGCCGAGGCCGACGACGCTGGCTCGGGCTCGGGCAACGGCTTCTTCGCCGAGAGCACGTCGTGGGCTTCACTCGGCGTATCAGAAAGCCTCGCGTCCGCCCTGCGCGGCGCCGGGCTCTCGAGGCCTTCCCATGTCCAGGTAAAGGCTCCGCGCGCTTCAGCTGCAACACACGCGTGACACGCCACGTGTTCGACGAAATGTCGGACCTCGTGTGAACGTCTAATGCCTGTTTAACATGAACAACAGTTCAGTTGGTAGATGTACATTTTATACTCTTTTGCTCCGCACAGGAATGGTATGTGAATTGACCGAGCTCTTTAAGCTCTGTCTACTGTTGGGGACCAGTCCGTTTGCCTCTCAGGGTGAACCAATGTCTATTCTAATTCGGAAATGCTAAAGGACAACCGTGTGTTTTTGTCTCTCCCGGCACACGGTTTTCTGATCATCCGATCGCTGGGTCTGTCCATAGTTGACCGTCTGATCCCCACCGATTTACCTATCTGTTTTTTTTCCTTGTCGCTGACAAGCTGTTCCGCATGTCTTCTCTCATTTCATTTCATCGTCTCCCCCCTGACAACAGCGACTATAGAAAAAAATTGTCTCATTTTATAATATATTATTTATTTTTATTCTTGTCTAACTATAGAAAAAGATTGTGACTTGTTAATTGTCTTTATGTCAACATTTATATTATTTTTTGTCCTTGCCTAACTATAGAAAAAAATTGTGATTTATTAATTGTCTTTGTGTCAATATATATATATATATATATATATATATATATATATATATATATATATAATTTTTTTGTCTAGCTATAGAAAAAATTTGTTACTTGTTAATTGTCTTTGTGTCAACATATATTAGATTTCGTTAGGTTTGTATAGTTTTGTGTATCGGGTTTTTTATAACCTGATTCGAAAATTGCAGCTGCAATTTTATCATAAAATATATGCAATAAGCATGGTGGCCGTTGGATTTCGATCTAATGGTGGTAGAATTCGTGTGCTACTGTTATCTAAAGCAACTGAATTTGTTTCTCATAGAAATCGTGTGTTTTACATGGAACTAACAACCGTGTGCTAGTTGGTCACGAAACACATGAATATAATATAGACATCCTCCTTTATTATTTAGATAAGCATTTGAGCACTAGAGGATTCAGGTTACATCTCTCCCTTTTCACCTTTGTGGGATTAGTCAAATCAGTTCTGTTATTAATGACCATATATATTTTCCTGTTGCAAACAATAAGAATGTAAATCCTTACAACAACTGCAAACCTTTTTGGATCCCAAGCAAGTTTGGGTATGTAGGCTAATTGTTCACCAAATATACTAGTGCTGTCATCTCTTCAAGACACTTCTCTTTGTTGTTGTTTGATTCATGAATATGATTGGATTCAGTATTTTTGATATCCACCTTTTGAATAATTTTTTTGGTCTGATGATAGTTTCACTGGGACTTGTCCTAGTATATTTCCAAACACGTATATCCTAACTGTCTTGTACTCTTGTTCAGTACCTACTGTTGCATGAAACTGTGAAAGATCAAAGATACTTACATAAAGTTTCAAATGTTACGCAGGCAACCTGTATACCACATGTTCTCATGGCAAATGATGTAATTGTCGCAGCAGAGACTGGCAGTGGCAAAACCCATGGTTACCTTGTACCTTTGATTGAAAAGCTGTGCTCAAAATCTTCTACCACCAAAGATGACAATTCTGAGGAGACCACCCCAGGGGCACATGACATTGTGTTGGTCCTTTGTCCCAATGTCATGCTCTGTGATCAAGTTGTTCGCATGGCTAATTCATTGCTTGACGAGTCTGGTGAACCACTTAAAAGTGCTGCTGCTGTTTGTGGGCCAAAGGTATGCTCTATCTGAACACCATCTATGGTAATTAATAATGTGTTAAACTCATCTTTTTCTCGTCCTACTTATAGATAAATATATGATTAGCCTATCACATTCCAGAGCCAAACACCCATTTTAATTTTGACTTTTCTGTAATGGAATAGCCTTTTTTTCTAAAGTTGCGAGTGTGTTATCAACATGGGTCTTCATTTTAGGCTATTTACTTCCTATTTGTGGCTTTACTCTTACAACACCTCATGCAATGATGTAGTAATGCAGTTTATTGTGGTGATGTTTTCCTTAATTTTTATTTCATGCCAGGGCTGGCCAGCTGTTCATCCAGATATTCTTGTAGCCACTCCAGCTGCTCTCTTAAACTATCTGTTTGACTATGACCCAGAAAAGAGGCGAAGAGAGAGATTCCTGCGTGATGTAAAATTCGTAGTAAGTATTTGAGCAAAACATTTCCTTTTCTAGTGTCACCTTTGTATTCTTGTTTTATTTAATCAATTTTCTGAATCTGCTTGGCAAAGCTAGAATAGTTCTCTGTTTTTTTTTTCATTTCCTGTCACCTGGATAAGAAATATCTGGAATAGTTTTGAGTTAAGATGTGATATCTATGTAGTTAGCATGTTTGGTGCATGTCTTGAATCCGTTTCGTGTGTCTTTTCTTTTTTAAAGCAAGTATTTGAACTGCAGTACTTGATATTCTGCTACTAGAAAGTCCTAATAGTTGTATATTTGGAATAGGTGTTTGATGAAGCAGACATGCTACTTTGTGGAAGTTTTGAGAACCAGGTCATTCGTCTCATCCATATGTTGAGATTTGATGAAAAGCTACTTTCTAGAGCACAGGATTCTGGAAAGGAAGTATCACCTGGGAGTGATGATGAATATCATGAGGATTCGAGGTTTGAGACTGCTGAATTTAGTGGTTCTGATGAGGAAATTGAAGACAATATTGTGCAAGATAGACCTGTAAAGGTGGAGAATAGTCATGTTGGAGCACACAAGGACTGGAGGAGAGTTAGAAAAATATTCAGACGCAGCAAGCAGTATGTCTTTGTTGCTGCCACCCTTCCTCAGAGTGGGAAAGAAACTGCTGGTGGTGTGCTAAAGCGTATGTTTCCAGATGCTGTATGGGTTAGTGGCACTTATCTGCACCGTCACAACCCCAGGTATTCACTTTTTCTTCACTACATAAGCTTTTGAATGCCCTCTGTGGTCAGGATTCTTGTTTTTAATTTGCTTGCTCATTTATGGAATTCTCACTGGCATTACAATTAAATCTTGCTATTTCTCTTGTAATCCCCTTTTTTTTTCTTTGTTACTTCATATTCCTGCCTTAATTTTTACAAGCTTGATATATATTGCACGCATATGCAGATTAGAGCAAAGATGGATAGAGGTCACTGCTGATACACAAGTTGATGCTCTTCTGAACGCAGTTAAATATGGCCTGAAGAGTGAAGTTCATGATGCTAAAGATGTTCCAAGACGCATTATGGTCTTCACAAACACCGTTGATGCTGCCAATTCAGTCTCTGATATATTGCAGCGAGTTGGTATTCCATGTATCTTGTACCATCGTGAGAGTTCCTTGGAGGAGAGGGCTAACAATTTGCAGTCTTTCCGGGAAAATGGTGGTGTGCTTGTATGCACTGATGCTGCTGCCCGTGGGCTTGATGTCCCAAATGTTTCTCATGTCATTCAGGTATCATCTACCTCTGGTGTCAGTGTCAATACTTAAACAGTACAACTGAAAATTTTAAATTACTATAAAGGGTTCATGCAGTTATGCATACAAAATTGTAATTTTTGTCATATTCCTTGAGTAATCCAGCTACAGTTGAATTTGTGTGGGGGTGGTTTCATCTCACAAGAATGCTTATCAAATGATCTTTGCTTCTGTAGGCAGAATTTGCTGCCTGTGCTGTTGATTTTTTGCACAGGGTGGGCCGCACAGCCAGAGCTGGTCAATCTGGTATAGTGACCAGCCTATACACAGAGGCAAATCGTGATCTTGTAAGAGCAGTTCGTCAAGCAGAGGAGTTGGCTCAGCCAGTGGTAAGACTCTTTGTTTTCTTCACCATCTTGAAGGTATAATATTTTTTCTGGAGAAGCACTTGCATAGTAAAAATGTTAATGTTTAAACAGGAGAGAGCATTCAGCAGGAAAAGAAGCTTTCGCAACAAATTAAAGAAGCAAGCATTACAAAAACGTGAAGCACTGGTATCTTGATAGCGTGACTCACTATATTTGTAGTAAGGAGAAAACATATGCTTTTTCTCCTTTATTACTGTTGGTGATGAATGTTTTTGTAGTACCATATAGAAAGCTGCTACATATTAAATGGAAGTTATATTCAGATGGAATGCGTTGAAGTAATCTGACCAACATGTAGTCTCTTGGAATAATTATATTCTTGTGGCGTTTTTGTGGTATTCTTACCGCCTTATTGCAAGTGATTTCAGATACTCTCTCTCTGGACAAACCCTTTTCCTGGTACCGGACATAAATATCTAAGATGCCGCTAATGCGCGATGGGTTGCGCCATTAACGAGCGTGTGATCTGTCGCTTTCCCAATCGGCGCGCCGCCCATCGCCTCGCCGTGGGACGGTAGGGTCTCACCGGAGCTCCGCGGCGACCTCTTTCTTCCTCTTCTCCCGCAGCTGCAATGGCTATGGTCGCCCGCTCTAACCTTGTCGGCCGCCTCCGTCGCCTGCTTAGCGTTATCGTCGCCTCCACCTTGCCGCCGTCTGTTCCGTCCTCACCATCGGGCCTGCCTGCCTCCCCTAACCCCCTTTCTAAGCCCGCCAGAGATGGAGAAGAAGTGAGGGAGAGGAAGAAAAGAGAGAGGAAGACTATTGGGCCGGCCTAGCGTAGACGCGTCGCGCTCTCCCGTCCTCACTATCAGGCCTGCCTGCCTTCCTCGACCTCCTTTGTAAGCATGCCGGAGATGGAGAAGTCCTCACTATTAGGCCTGCCTGCCTCTCCCGACCCTTTCTAAGCCTGCCAGATATGGAGAGAGAGAGACTGTTGGGCCAACCCGGAGTAGAGGCGTCGCGCGTTACAACCAGAGCACGATGAGTCATCAGATAGATTTTGCGAATATCTATTACCACTAGGGATGGAAACGGTCAGAAAACGTCTTAACTGTTTTCTAATTTTACATTTAAATACGAAAATGAAAGCGAAAGCGGTAAAGCTGGACATAAAAACGAACACGAACTTACGGAATATCGAGAATTTCGAAAACAAACTAATTCGAACGGAATTATGTCGAACACGGTCGGTATACGAAAAATCAATATGGAATAGACTTGTAGGACCAAGTGCATAACAATTAACAAGTGTATAACCATGTGAATAACCATTAAAAGTCTTACAACTTTCATAAAAATTATTTTCATTTGAGACCATATAAGAAAGATATGATTTTTTCTAACAAGCGTTTGTACGCGATTATTATACTGTTGAAATTTTGTTTAATTTTTTTGAACATCTTAAAGACCTCAAATGAAAGAACTAAAAACTAGAAAGTTGTAGATCTCGTCGAGAGATACAATTTTCATATAAAAATCATCATCATCCGAGATTGTATGAAAAAGATACAAAATTTTTAAGGCTGAACTTCTAGTGGCCAAATTATTTTGAATTCTAGATATTCCAAATTAAAAGTAAAAAAGGTAGAAAACGGTCCAAAAACGTCTAAACCGTTTTCGTTCCGATTTTGAATTTGGTGTTTCGTATTTCAAACCGAATTTGAATTTATTCGAAAATACAAATTCGATCGGATCAAATGTAGAAAACGACGTGGTTCAGTTCAAGATATTTCCGTACCGTTTTCATCCCTAATTACCACATGCGAATCTGCTAATCTATACTATAAAAGAGCGAAGGAATTAAAAAATATATTTCACCAAAAAATTGTTACCCACCTTATATAAGAACCCTTGGGTGCATTATTGTATTTAGATCTAACGGTGCTTATCCTTATAACTGTGGGCCACAATAAAATCTTATGCTCACCATAAGAATCTTACGCGTTCCTGCCGTCGTAGAATCTTATACGACGCCTCAATCGTGTTTTATTTTTCACCCACCCGCCGCATACCCATCCGCGTGTACCCACCGGTAACTTCCGAATCCCTGAGATGCAGACGCCGGACGATCCTCCTTCCCCATCACCATCCACCGTGCGCCACCACCGCTGAGGCCCTACGCTGGCCTTCACCTCCACGCCAGCGCCCAACTGCCGCCAACTGGAGGAGTGGCTCATGCTCATCCCCTCCGCCTCCAAAAAGTTGTCCAGAGTTCGCCCCGATCTTGTCATCCTCGTCTTCCCGCTCCGCTAGCGCCCACCGCTCACCTCGCCATTCCACTTCCGGCGCCAGTGGAGCATGCCACGGCCAGAGCCCTGCCTTCTTCTGGCGACGACAAGCATGGGACAGCGACAGCGCCCTCACCCCTACAGGCCTATGATGCCTTCATGGCCTCAAAGACCGACAACCTCGCCAGGCCACTCAAGGTCGTTGGCATCCCCTACACACATCCACATCTAGGAAGCAAGGGCTTCAGGATGGGAGGGTCAGCAGCGTGAGCGACTACTGCGTGCATCGCCGTTGTGGTGGTGCGTTTCCTTAATGGCTCTACAGAGGATGGGGAGTCTAAGTGTTTGTCCTTGGCGGCTGGTGTTGAGGGAGTGGGGATGTACTGCACCGGGTGCCAGAGGGGGTGGAGGCTGAGTCATGACGCTACCAAGGAGTACAAGGGTAACTGAATTTCTATTCTTATTATATTGCTTAAGGATAAAGTTGCCATCATGGAATTAGAGTTGCTCTGATGGCATTTTGCCTTGGTTTGTTATATGTCTGGTTTTTGTATCTAATGCAATTATTAACAAGTAATTTATGTTTGCAAGTTGTAGAAAGCTGTGCTAAAAGGAGTGATTACTGGTTGCAATTGCAATATACGTTGCATTTGTCTGTCCTGTAATGGCTCAAAGGTATGGGTTCCACAGTCTTTGTAACACCCTCGGTGTTACACAATGAATCACTTGCTAAAACATGTCATGAGCATCATACTTAAGTGATATTGCATGTGGTGTGATGGATAGGTAAAGCATTGTAACTTAAACGAGTCGTAAAAACATAAAACGAAAAGTTAATTCATGATTTATAAAGTTAGCAAGTGGAGATGTTAACTATTTTTATTGAACAAAAACACTATAAAACATATATGTGACACCATAATAAAGTTTGAAGTACACATTTTATAGAAGATAATGCAACTTTTGTTTTAACAAGATAATAACGCTAGCTAACATTTTTAATAGCTTGGGAATCGAATTTGAAGCAATTCGAACTCAAGACGTAGTCAATTTCTTAAGTCTGAAAACAGATTGACAAAGCTATGTTTGGTAATTTATTATGTAAAAATTGAGTTTAGGAGTGGTGTCGTTCTTTAGCTCTTGTTGATAGCCTAAGGTGGCCTCTTTAGAGTAGTGAAGGTGGTTTGCGGATTGGATCAACTGTGTAGTTGTTTCGAACGCTTTAAAATCCGTGCACAGCGTGTTCTCGGGTTGTTTTTCCCGGCTGGACGCGATCACCATGCCGAGTGGCCTCGATGTTGTGGCGCTCGGTGCGTGCAAGCGCGCGCGTGGCTGCACGCTGGCCGGCCGGAGCTGCCCGCGCTCTAGCCACATCACTGGATGCCTCGGGCTGCCTCGGCGCGGAGCCGTGGTTGCCCGACTTGCCACATCACACTGCCCCCGCCTGCTACTGTTGCCGCACGTTGCTGCTGCCCTCCATGCCGCTCCATGACAACACCGTTGCCGCTGCCGTCGCATCGTTGCACTACGCTGTGCTACGCTGCGCCACTGGCCCGCCTGGACGCTGCACGCACGAGGCCAAACAGCTGTCGCCATGCCATTTATGGCATTGCAGCGCGCGGGCCATGCCGACCTCGAGCGCATGTCATCGGCTAGTGCCGGCCGTGGTCGCTCTAGTCGCGTCAACCGCGTCCCGCCAAGCAAGCACAGGCTGAGCCATGACTGCGTCCCCACCATCTCCCACCCCTCCACTGTCCTCTTCTTTGTTGCCATCGCCGAGCCGCGCCAGCCGCTTGCATGCGAGAAGTCATCCCCCATCAATTCCACGTGCCTGCGCCTATGCTCTCACGTCCTCTCGCTACCCGCCCCCACCCAGACTTGAACCGTGCAAGGCCAAGCTCCAGTTTGGAGCTTTGCCCCGCCACCGCGCCGTTAAGACCCATCACCACCCTCACTATGGCTAGCCCCCTCCTCAATGTCTCGAGCCGAATTAGCTGCACCACTAGCCCCGCCTAGAACCCCTATTCATCATGCGCACCTAAGCCTCACCTCTACCGTTGCCTCCTCGCCACTGGCATGGCCGTGTCGCTGCGGTTCGCCATTGAACTCGCCGTGTGCACGCGGTCAGGCTCGCTCGGGGCATCTCTGGCTAAACCATCACCTCCGCTAGGTCAGTGGTGAGTCCCTATTGCTCACCCGCTATCCCTACTGCCTTGTTAATACTGTGGCTCACTAGAACGCCATCGCCATTGCCGTAGGGTACCTGCCGTCGTGGAGAGGCCCTTCTACTGCGTCTCAGTTTGTGCAGCCACCGCCCATCGCTTCGTGTCAAACTCTAGGTGAGCGTCGGCCTCATAGATGGGTCAGCTTGGGTCCTGTGTGGCCGGCGCAAGCACCAGTGCCACCGCTTGCCGCGCCGGCACACGCGGGGATGGTCGAGGACCATATCATTGTAAAGGAGGGAGATTGCGAGGGTGTTCTTGCAAAGTTATTGTCTATAGGAATAGTGCAAACAGTGCTGTCGGTACAGAAAGTGACCAACTAGTGAATATTTGTAGTTTTGCTGTACGTTGTGATCGGAGGTGGCCTAGCACTCAATGACACAGAATATATACTGGTTCAGGCAATGTGCCCTATGTCCAGTGTGGGTCGGTCGGTGACTTTATTCCTGAGCTCAGGTGCTCGAAGTCTGTAGTGGGGTTACAAACGAGAAGGAGAAAGGAGGGGTATACGAGAGGCCCGGTCGGGTCCGACCGGAAGGGCCGAGGGCGACCGGAACTCCGCTATGAGCTAGGTGTTCAAGCGTGTGCTTGAGGGGTTGTGAGTTATCGATCTAGTGAATCTAAGCTTGAAGAAGTGGGCCTCCTCCCGTTGGAGGGAGCGCATCCCCTTTTATAGAAGAAGGGG